TCTGTATCAGAGCATTTTAGTCAAGCCCACCTTTGAAGTGCCGACACAGGGCAGAGGGAGATGCTTTAGTCAGATTCTTTGGAACGCATTGCAGCCCTAATCTCCCTGCTGGCATCCACTCCACTGACTGAAACCTGACACACACACACACACACACATAGTGGCATGTGCACCACCATCAGATGATGCTTGCACGCGCACAGGGCTGTGGATGTAGTCCACTAAACCGACACGGTCAGAACAGTAGCCAAACAAACAGGCCTGTATGTCTCAATTTACTTTGACACAATGTCCTTCCTACAGGTATTTTGTTTACGTGGATGAGAGTCGAGAGAAGTGGCTATTTCAGATTTGCGCGGAATAAACACGCCTGTGTTGGAGTTCTGGGCCACATATTGTCACACCACATGACAAATGGCACTTTGAAAAGCTGAGACAAAGCATGAACATTCTGAGAACACATATACAGCCTCTGGAAGAGCAGTTACAGATTCACTGTGCAGAGGAAGGGACCAGGGCACAACTATGTCACTTTTGACGTTTAAAATTCAGACGTGACATTTTGGACTCGTGAAATGTCTCACATGTAAACACAGCCAAGCCAAAACAAAGGCATCTGCTTTTATAAATGCAGCATTCACTGTTTTACAAGAACGCACAAAAACTGTGGACATAAACGTGAGCGTGAAGTGCTTCATAAGAGCACTAAAGTTGAATTTGTTTCGAGCACCAAACCAACACTGATGATAGCAGACATTCTAAATGCAGAAAAAAGTTCTTTGTCTGGACGTCCTGCCAAATCATAAATATATCATTTGAGGAATATCAAATAAACTGGAATTAGTATATTCTGAACTATCAATGTTCCAGCAGAGTACCAGGTTTTGCCAACAGTGCGTAGTGTTTTTGTCATGCTAGTTCAATCTGTCCTCATTTTCGTGATATTATTTAAAGTTATGTGTTGGTTTCTCATTTTAGCATTTTAGCTCAGAATGTTAAAAGACACTCACCTATAACAATCAGCGTATAGTTGATGTTCACGCTGCCAAATCCATTGGTGGCCTTACAGATGTAAGTCCCCGCGTCCTCTGTCTCGACTTCCTTGATACGAAGGCCATGCTGTAACACCTTGAACCGTGTCCAACCACTGTGGATGTTGCGGCCATCTTTGGTCCACATGATGAGGGGAGGGGGGTCACCTTCCACGGGGCAGAGCAGCTTCATGGTGCGACCCAGACGGACGCTCTGACGATGGGTCACTCTCTCTGACACCCTGGGGGGACCTTAAGAGTAGAATAAGGAGATTTAGTACAACAAGGAGCTAAATCCAGCTGGTTTGACTAAAACAGGGAAGAAACATCTGGCATATCCTGTCTGATCAATAGTTTGTAAACGGAGAGTATTCAGCTTTTATTTTGATAAATCATTTTGACTTTTGTAAACTGGCTAAGAATGCCCAAAAACTATTTTTTTTTGTGTGTTTAAAGCTAATTCCAAATGCTAGTTTTCAGGTTCTAGTCATTGTGTTACATTTCCACACAATCATTAACTTTGCATCGAAGCGATAAACTGAAGGACACCAACTTGACTCACATCATGGCAAAAAAGGAATTCATTCTCAGTTAGTGTTATTACAAGAACCAGGCCAAGGGCCTTATTGTATATTGTTGTAAATCTGACAAAGTTTGCAATGTCAGCACTTATAGTTTTACTGTATCATCAATAAACCTGTTCAGACCAAACCAAAAACTTCTAATTTGGCGTGCTATAGAATTTAAGAATAAGGCGTCCTTGATGGCTTAACTAAAACACAGATAATATAACACAGACAACCATAACATCCCCTTGGAGCAAAGACACCCTGAGAAGTCCGCTTTAAATAAATGGAGAAGCTGTGACGAAATATGAAATCAGGCATAACCTTGACCGCTCGGTAGCCGCTCGACTGTGTAACAGCATACTGGAAAAACAAAGGGGGTGAAAAAGTAGCCTGATTGAATTGGAAGGTTGGGAGGAAAGGACGAGGAGAACAAACAGTGACGAGGGGGAGGGAAAAGGAAGGAAGAAGGTCGAGGATTTACAAGACCAAGGAGAAAGGGAATAAGGAAACAGGGCATAGGAATAGGAGGGAATTTTTAGGGAGTAAATCTGTGAGGATAACAGAGATGAAATATGGTGGAGGAAAGGCATAAAAAGAAATACAAACAGGAAGGCAGCAAGATGGAAGCAGGAGGGCTGTAGGAGTCAACCATTTTCAATGCCTGACATACATCTCTGCTTGACCTCTCATTGGTCCTTTCAGGTTAAAACAATACTTTGCAAACAGGGGAGTACAAGCTAGTAAAAGACCACCAACCTGAAGCAAACAATGTTGTCACAAACAACAAAAGGCAACTGTGGGAGAATCCACTCTAAAACATCTGACTCCAGCTGAACATTTCAAAGGGGGGACAAAGAAATGACTTACTTCAACAATGTGCCAAGCAGAGGCTTCTTAAGATAAATAAATGGGGCTGGAAAAACAGAACTACATCTTCACGCTTCTTTTGGTCTGAAAGTATTCCCTAATTATGACTTATTACAACAGGATTATTACAACAAACACACCTTTACTCACTTCTGGATTTTTTTGGTAGCATGACCAACAGTATAGCCAATATAAGTGAAAAAAATAAAAATAAGGGTCTACCTGCATCAACTGTCAGGATTTTCAAAGAGGAAAAACAGATTCCTGCAGGCCATTCATTTACTCTCACAGCATAAACAGAAATCTTTATGGGTTTTTTCATCTTGCAGCTTCAAGTGGACAAAACCAAATAAAGGAATATGGATAAAGTCTATGAAGTGATATCACAAGCAAACAATAGAACAGATACAGGAGCTCAACTACTGGCCATTTTTTAAAGTGGTTCTGAAGCTATGGGTGCAGTGATGGATGGATAGAAGTGAAACGTGTGAGAAAGACATCAGTCACGCAGAGGCATTCTCAGGAGCCTATCCTCTCCTCTGCTTACTCTGTCTTCCTCATTCCTAAATGAGGAATGTGTTCCTGTAGCCAACTTCTTTAATCAGTTCAAACTTTCTCCTTTACCCACCTTTTCTACTTTCATCCTGTGCTTGTTATTTTCCTGATATGACACTTAAATATATGGTACATATCTAAAGAAAATCAGACAACAACTTCTCTTTGTTCTAAAATTCCCTCATTGTTTCTCAGCCAAACTTTTACCTCTTTTACCCATATTTTTAACTTGCAAACATAATTTATTTTCCTTTTTATTCTTTTCTACTGCATTCTTCTTTTCTTTTGCCAACAGATTGAAATCACATTCAGCTGAACTCTTACTACTCCCCAGCTACTCCTTGGCCCCTCTCTTCCTCTTACCGCCACCTCCAATCCTCTCTTTTCCCCTGTCATCACGCTTTCCCCCCTTTTTTCTCTGGCTCTATCCATTTTTCTCTTGCTTGTCCTCTCTCATCACTCTCATTCGCACCATCTTCTTCATCCATAGCAGAATCTTTTCTTTCTCCCTTGAGTGATTTACTGGCCTTCTTTCTTTTTCAGATCTGTACACATAACTTCCCCAATCTCTTCCTCGAGGGACCACAGGAGCGCGACCTCTCACTGAACCTCTCAACTTTCGACAGTTAGCCTCTTCTACATCTTCTTCCTTTACATCCTCATTTCCTCTCCATCCAACTCTCTTTTTCCAGTGATGGAAGCAGCAGCCTAATTATCCCCCACCCCTTTCGCTTCCCTTGCCTCCTCCCCCTGCCCCCGTCCAAGGCCCACGACTGAAGTAAAGTTTTAAAATGTCTCTCATGGGGATGAAACTGAAGAAAGTAAGAAACCTATTTCTCTTTCACGAAACTCAGGGTCAGAGTCTGCATGTTTGTATTTCTAGGCTGAGCACTAAATATATAAACTTAGCTGAAAGACAGCTTATGTTGCATTTTGGATTCTAAGTGAGGAAGGTTGTCCCAAAATATAGTGATATCTTCATTTATGTTACAACTATGAGCAAAAATTATTCAAATTGTGTGTCTAAAGAAATGTGTGAACCCTTATGACAAATAAAGTCCAAAGCAAATGTGATATGATAAGATTTGAAGTACAATAAGGATCCTCTAATGTGAAGAAGTGCTAACAGAAAGATCTCAAATGATATTTGGTAATATTAATTTAGCACAAAGATGGTGATTAAAAGAAAAGATTAAATCATGATTTGTAAAGATTTGACTACTTTAGCATCTCTAAATAGAAAATTCAAAGGTTCATATAAAGAAACATGACAACATGATTTATGAGCAATTAAGACTTTAAATGGTCCAACTTTGCATGTAAACAATAATCTTATTAGGTCCTTCCTTTATCAGCTCGCTAATTTGTGCAAGGATGTGTACAGGGGCAAAGAATCCAGGGCTTTAAAATGTCTGCTTCGTGCATTTAAGCATGAGCATATTTCTGACTTACACATATGCGTGTTGTCCCCTTTTTCCTCTTTTCAGCAGGGAATGGGTAAATAAGTTTTACATGAACGTCTATATTCTGACAGGAAAATACAGCCCACTTTAGACACACCAGTCCTGTAGAGACAGAACTTTCCTGCTCAGAGCTGCAGAGCCTCTGCTTGGACGAAAGCAGACAATCTGAAGGCCAAAAAAAGAGGAAATCGCTTCATACATTCTGTTCTTTTAGCAGTTACTCCCAAAGCAACTGCAAATACACCACACAAGTTCCAAGCTATATGATTAATTAGGTTCTTTTGGACTCCTCATCATACGCAAATATTATTTTTGCAGATAAAACCAGTTAATCTTTCCTGAACTTCTTTTTTTTTCACAGAGTGGTGCAGAGGTGTCCAGTAATAACAGAATTTCTGGGGAGGCTGAGTTGTGAAAACAACATTTGTCGTCGTTCTTTGGGGAATACCACCTTACCCTAATGACAAAAAGACCTAATTTGAATACAATACAGAGAAAATACCCTTTAGATTAAGTATCACTGTAAAAAAAAACCAAAAAAAAAACCCAAACCTTTGTGGTGTTTAATGAAACAATGCATTTTTGCAACAGAATACTGTAAAGATTTTCAGTCAACTGTAAAGTTCAGATGTTTCGGAATGGCCATGATACCGTAATCGTCTTCCTTCATGGTGTGCCTTGTGGGCTGGCATTAGTACTAACTAGGCTTTACTTATTTACTTAAGTACGCAATGGCAAACAGTGTTTAAACCCAAAGTTTTGGAGTTTGCCGTACTTAGGATTGAAAAGATCCCTCATCACACTGATGAAAAAGGTGTTAATTCCTTTAAAAAAAAAGATAAATTGATTCACAAACACATAAATGAATATTTTATAGATAGTAAATCAGAGTAAACACCATGATTACCTGGCAATGTAGGAATTGTGAAATATTTAGGAGAAAAATCTACAAGACAAGTCTCCTTTATAAGGGCACAAGTGAGAGCAGTCAAAAGCATTTTTAGTATTAAAAAACATTTTTTAAAGTGCAAAGAACATTCTTGTTTATTGGGCTCTTTTTTATGTTTCATATTTTGCCAGTTTGTGACAGCGGGGACTGCTCTTTATGTTTCGGACCCAGAGTTTGGCCCCTTAATGCTCTTTACGTTCCATTGCTCCTTGCCTCAGATGGGTCTACAGAGTCCAGCACAACGTTGTTGTTGGCAGGAAAGTGAGACTGCAGCGAGAGGGGAGAGTCGAGGAATGCTTTTGATGGAGAACTCTTAACAGCGGGACATAGCATTGATGTACTGCAAAAAGGTAGAGGTGTGCAAATGTGTGTGTGTATGCTGTGCAACTAGTGTGTGTGTGTGTCAGAAGTTTGGAACAAAGAAAGACAAATGGTTCCTACAGAGATCTCTGTTACTATCAAATGCTATTAGTAACATTTATGTCTTTATTTCTACCTCTTACTTGGAGTTTAGTAAGAAAGCAGAAAGGGGGTGTCCTATTGCCACTTCTTGAATAAGAATTCTACTCAAATGATCCCAATTTTTTGATGTCTGCAATAAATGCAATCTATATCAATGTAGTAATATTTCTTTTATCTTGAAATCCTGTTACAAAAGATTCTCCATTGATTATGAGCAGTTGTATCACCTGTTGGTGTATCACCTGGTCACATTTACAGAACCAGAGCTAAATCCCTTAAACCTGCAGTCTTTCCTCCTCTTGCCTCTGTTTCAATGACATATTCACTCAGACTCAAGCTGTCTGTTGCCTCAGGCTCCAAAATAAGAGTGATGGATGCACATTAAGTTGTCCTCCTCAGGTGTGTACGCACATAAATACAAACACTTTCTCGTCCAGACTCATCACTTATCCCCCATCAATAGGTCAACTGCTGCTTGTTACTTCATCCTGACAGCTTACATTTGGCCTCAGGCCGGTTCAGCAGTGAAGGCAAGCGTCACACACATGCACTCACACTTACACACAATACCTCAGGCCCACACTTGTTTTTATCTCTTTCAAACACACACACTTATACGAAAGAAAAATACAAAACGGCCAGCAAAACATTGAGGAATCTGCTGAGTGGTTGGTTTGCAACCTGATCACCTCCGTGACATAAAATCAGCTTTCCGACTGCACACACTCAAATACATACCTCCAGAAAAGGTTAATACTCTCTAAACTCTGTTCTTGTTAAAAGAGTTAGTTTTGAGATGGAGAATAAATTGAAATAGAAAAATATATATGCAATAATTCCTGTCTTGGGCCCGCTCTATCCTCACCTCTGCATCCTTCTCTTTGAGCTTCTTTCACAGCAGCATAATAGCAGGTTATATTGTTCTAGGTTTCTTTTATCCGATCTGCTGCACCTGTCAGCCTTTCCATCAAAGAAATACGCTCAACAATAGGGATTAAGGTTAAGAATTAAGGCCGTCATTCAGAAAAAACTTACCAAACGAGTTGCACCGTAACAAAAACCAAGGAAAAGCTTAAGTTTAAATATATGACAAAAAACATAGTGCCATAAATGTCAGAAAATCTGAAATAAATGAAACTCGTCTAATTCTTGAAAAAAAAACAACTAAAATGTGGTAAAATACTCCCAAAAAATCCTAAAACAGCTAATTCTTGCTAAGAAAATGCCTACAAACCAGGAATATTTAAAAAACAATTACAAAAATAAACTACTTTATTCTGTACCCCTACAAGAAGGAAACAGCAAATAAACTACAAAGTTTTGCACAATCAAGTTGAGAAGAAAAGTCAACACAACCTGCCAAACTGCACTCTGGTCAAATGTAACAACAACGGAAGGATTATGTAAAGAAGAAAAAAAATAAACCTTAACATAAAAAGGGAAAATGAGGTGAAATCACCAAGAGCATGAGGACAATTAAAACCAAGAGCATTTTTTAAAGATTGTGAAAGTACTTACGAAAATCTATACGCAGTTGTATTTGTGTGTGTGTATATATTGAGACTATAGACCCATTACATAAATATACATTCAGAGAGGCTATGAAAGTAGCACAAGCAAGAAAAATGAGGACAAGTAATGTATAAAATATGGCAGCGAAGAAATACACAGACCCCAGCAGGAAAGTATAAAGACAGAAGCTAACCTACATCTACCTGCACATACAGTACAAGGATTTACAGCTTAACTACAGACTGGACAAGGGACTGACATTTTAATGACTACCTTGGATAGAAACCGTAACAGAATTCACTTTGCCTCGTTTAACCTTGAATTTCATTCACATCTGGTGAGACAAAAAAAAAAGAAAAGTGAGAAAAGGAAAGGAAACGGACAGAGCTGGAGGTATCCTGAATGCTCCACTGACAACTCGTCAGCAAGACATGTTGAAAAGTAATAGAAAGTTTTGTTTCCTGTTTTCTCCGTCTTGGATGGGAGGAGACAAAAAGTAAGTCTGCGTATAGAACAACTCTGACCTGGTGAGGTTTGTTTGCCATTACAATAATGATTAATATCGGTTTCCCGGCGCAACAGAAACAAAACGAACTCTCTTAACTGCTAACTGCTTTTTTTGCAACATTTTATTCTCCCTGAAACAGTCTCTATAGTTATTATCATTACCGTGTTGATCAAATAGCAAAAAAGCCTAAGCTAAATAGAGATTACAGCATCCACTTTTATTAATTTACTTACAGCTACTTAATTAGGATGGAGGGACAAAAGGAAAAACAGATGGTATGCGTTAAGAAAGCAAGATGGAGCTAAAGTAAGAATACCACTGCAGTTCTTGATATGTGTGTGTGAGAGAGAGTGTATGTTTGCATCATTCCTTCCCTGGTCAGTGTATGGAAGTTGAGTACCAGGTTACATTCAAGTCCAAACTAAGACCTGACAGACAGGAAGCAGACACTCTGAGCCAGAGCCAGTTAGCAAGAAGGACAGACCACAGGAACTGGTGTGCAGTTTTTGGGCTGCTGGCACTGTGTGCAGGACCACAGATGAAGCCCCTGCAGGACCACTTTTAGGGCCGTTTTGGGAACAACTAATCAGAGACAAGAACTTTTGAGCTCCAGCCCCCAAAAGGATGGACATCACCCAACAAAACATACATGGGCTAAGGCAAACAATGGCACAGCAGTACTTTCTGTTCCCTCAGCAGTTTTTCTGTAATTTAGCCTGACGGCAAAAAGACGTGAGATCAGTAATTCATTTGTGAGTTTATTTCACTGCACATATATATTCTCCACCTTGTAACTTACTAAAGTTTGCCGTAAACAAATGAAGCCACAATAACAGAATATTTCATCCTCATTAAAAATAAAGGTGTGTCAACATTTCAGAAATCACAATTGACAACTATTTATTTCTACTCAGAATTCAGTGTTAACAAAAACAAAAGGAAATAACAATGCAGAAATCGTTTTTGTGGTTGCAAATGTAATGCTATCTGAACACTAAGACATATAATGCAGATTATAAATGGATCTACATTTTAAGGCTAATCCTATAATTCGGTATGTATCATATTTGAAACATATGGTTTTTCAAATGTTTTTCATCTGAGAATTTTTGCATTATTCAATGGTGAAAACGTTTTTGAAATCCTGTTGTCAGATATACCTGATAACACATGTCAGAAGACTTCATGACAATATCTTTTTACTTATTGCACAGTAATAAGCATTCAATATACTTATATACTGAATATTCAATAATTATTAGATTTTGAAAAGATTTTGTTAAAGGGCCAAATAAAGACTTCAAACAAAGACAAATTTATTTTCTTTCCTGGATCAGGCTTTAAAGGTTTATTAATAAAAAAAATATCTATACACACAGCAGCAATCTAACACATATAAAAAGAAATGTTATTATTTTGGACCGGCCATCGTTATTGACCTCCAAAAGACACTCATTAAGCAGAAAAGCCTCTTCCTAAAAATGTTGTAGTGGCAGGTGTTGTTGGTGTATGCTGGGAATCTGAGGCTGGGGTCATTTGACTTATTCAGTCACTGTCGGGTTACAGTCACCAGCTGTAGACACAAGTTAGCAAGATCCCATTAAACAGACATGTGAGTGACTAAAAGCGCCGTTTAGACAGACGTTTGGGGGAAACAACTACATTTTACGAACAACAGAATCTCAACAAATGCATTAGTCTTTGTGTGCCATGCAGATAAGACACAAAATAGTTTAAGTGAGATAAGAAATGGTTAACACTGCTGAACGTGAGAGGACTTGTGTGCCTGTGTGTTTGTGTCCTCGACCTGACTTTAAAAAAATGTTTTTATCAGCATTCTGGAGGCAGACACTGTTACTCATTAACAGTGATAACACACACAGAGCACCAGCACCTGCTCTGGTACACTGCAGTGATAAAGAGGTGACTATTTGCTGCTAAAGGAGCCATCCATATTGACATGACATATAAAGATGGAGATAAGGAGTGAGATGGCACTGGAGAAAGTAGTTAAATAAAGGCAGATAAGATTTAAAAGGCTTGTAATTTGGAGACTCTGGAAGGCCACCATAGCCCACATTTGATGGAGTCGTTTTAAACCAAAGTGCCTTAAGCTCCACTTCACACAACAGAAATATGCCGTTTTAGGGAAATAAGGTAATTGTACTCGCTGCATAGAATGTTCAATAAATATCCAACACTAGAACATATTTTGACACATCAATGGATGTTAATTACA